ATAGATGAGGGCCAAAGGACTTTACATGCCAAGTTATGGACTTCAGGTTTTATGCTATAGACCAATCATTCTCAAATTTTAGCATGCATCAGAGTATGCTGGAGGACTTGGATCCTATCCGCAGAGTTTTGAATCAACTTGTAGTTTCTGTGATCAATTTGTGGCTAGAAAGAAAGAGATTAGGACTGAATCAAAGTCAAACTTGAGAGGCCTGATAGGTCACGATGTCACTAAATGAGATAAAGACTGAAGGAAGATGTAGATTATATAGGGATAACCCACAACCTTGTTTTAAACTTACTAAACTTGAAATGTTTAAAGGCAACAGGTGGAGGTGACCAGTGGGGAGTTACAGACAGTTCCGGCACTCAAGAGTGAGGGCAGGGGTAAAGATAATGATTTAAGAATCAACAACAACAACAAAAAAAGAATCAACAACACAGAAATGGTTGTTCAAGCTTTAGACATGGATGAAACCCCTTAGGGCTAGAGAATGCGACAAGATAACTAAGCATCAAAATATGGAGGAACATCATTATTTAAGGGATAGGCATAAAAATAGTCACTAAAAAAAATAAGGGAAGGAACTCAGAACTCTCAGGGATGTAAAGGAAGAACACAGGTACAGTGGGGCCTCTGAAATGAAGGAAATGCGTAATTTTGAGACAGACTGTGGTCAACAGCATCAATTTTGAGAGTTAGTGAGTGGCTTTAACTTTTGATGAAAAGGACAGTAGTACCATCTAGCCTGTTAATTTTATTCTAGTGGTTCCACAGAGTTGGGAACATGAATTAAGGCTCTAAAATAAGAAGTATAAACATCCTAGAGTAAGTAGCATGCATTAGAGTATAATGCACTGTCATTGTAAATTACTGTTAGTCAAGTATCACAAGTATGCAAATAGGAGCATAGGAAGCTCTCATGATGTGTCCTTGGCCATAGAGCCATGATTGACTCAGCATGGAATGAAGTCTTCTGACTTTTTACTAAGCAATCCCCAGTAAGAATTAGGTTTTAAGATAAAACCCAAGACACTAATAAATGAATGTTAACTGAGGTCTTGATTTTTCTCTTACCATCTGTGAAACAGGCCTCTGGCTCATCTGCATTTATAGATTCAGCCTCCGCGTCTTCTCCTTCTCCTGGGACGGGGTTATCGATTGTGCTGCACTCAGAGGAACTCAATCGGTTCTCTCTCTAAAAAGAAATGCACCATTCCACCGGACAGTCATTTAGAGTTCATTCAAATCTTGCATCCAAGCCACATTTAATAATCAGAGTCATGCAAAGTGTTATGAAAAAATATTAACAGTATGATGGCCATAAAAAANGTCAAATGACATAGCAATAACATAGATGCAAATGACTCTACTACTTCTAAAAATGAACTAGTGCCATCTATCGCAAATATGCCTCATGACTTTCCCAACAACTCAATAATTTCACTACAGAATCATGAAAGAAGCCATTAACAAGACATTGTCTAAAACATGTCTAAAACAATTAATATTTCATCAAGAGAATTCTAGTTTTGTTGTTTTAGGACATGCAGTATATGATTACGTGAAGTTATTACTTGATAGGTTCAATATTTTTTATGAAATGCAGTTTGTTTTATAGAAAATAATTTTTTTAAAATACCTAAATTAAAACTTCTGAAACAAGTATCTAAAAAGTACTCTCCCACCTTCTATCTTCCTTTCAAATGAGGTTTTTTATCTAAAATTTTTAAGAGAGGAATTATAGTTCTTAAAATCCTTCCTTTTCTTCAAAATAATTTTAGTTATTTACTATTTAATCAACTTTAATTTCTTTAATTTTAAATTTTCAATCATTATTTTTCTGGGCCTTTCTTTTCCTGGTCATGGCTCTGTTCACCAGTCCTTCATGAAACTTTTTACTCTCTGACTTCGTTTATTGCTTCCTCC